TGCCCCGTTTGTTTATGGTAGGCACACTGATCTCGCTGCAGGGGGATTTGGGACCCAGCTGATGATGGCCCTTGTCTTTCTTGTTGATTTGTTGGGAAGGGGGTCTCCCCCGTGTCTCCTGGAGAGCAGCCACCGAAGTTTTTGCCTGTCCCTTGGAAACTTTGTCAGCAGCATTTTCTCTATCATCAAACACCTTATGGGTTATTTCTAAAAGTTGTGTGATGTTCATGCCACTGAATTCTTCTAATTTTTGTAATTTCTTCTGGATGTCTATGGCTGCCTGAGCCACAAAAGCCAAATTTAAAGCACAGCTACTTTCAGGAACAGCCGAATCGAATGGGGTGTAAATACAATAGGCCTTTTGAAGACGTTCCAAGAATACCCCAGGAGACTCATCAGCTCCGCGGATCACGTCCGTGGTTTTGGATAAATTCATGGGTTTCCGTGCAGCTACCTTAATACCCATGAGAGATTGCAGTGAAAGTTGTCCAAAGCATGCCTCCCCACCGAGGAATTGGGTTCCCAGTTTGGTCTGTTGGTAGGGAAGACTTCCTCCAACTGGTCTCTGGCCTCCTCTTCAGGCTGACCAGTGGAGGAGAGGAAACACTTTCACGCTTCTCTGCAGATATAGTCTCTCTCCTCCACAGTAAAAAGGGTGAGAAGGATTTGCTGATAGTTGTCCCAGGGAGGACGATGAGTCTGAAGTATGGATTCCACCAGAGAGGTCAAAGCCTGGGTTTTTTCAGAAAACAGTGGGCTCTGAGCTTTCCAATTATAAAAGTCAGAGGTGGAAAATGGGACATAAACCAACAATGGGGTTTATCGGTCACCACCAGCCGGAGGCGGTGCCTCCCTTAGGGGGATGGGGGTGGACTACTCTCCGTGTGGTGGCAGGAGTCTGGAATCCACAGGCAATGACACGGCAGGGGGAGCAAAAGAAGTAATAGTAGGCGACCCTGTTGGGGCTGGGGGGTTGTAAGGTGGGGGAAGGAGAGGAAAAACTTTGTCCTCCTCGGATGGAGGCAGAAATGGAGGGGCTGAAGCTGAAGAGGGGGGCGGCCACGTGGTGCAGTTAAGGAGTATTTTAGAAGCAGGATCTTGAGCCATACAGGATCGGAGTCACGGTGATGGGTTAAGAACCATGTGTAACCACTGATCAATATACAGGAACTGGTCAGGGTGGCCTGGATTTCCTAAAACTACCCTCCAAACAGCCTGATGATGTCAGTGTCCAGTGACCCTGTGTCCAGCCCCTCCACATTAAAACTTGGCCATTGCAGTTTACACAGGGTGCAGAGTCAGCCCTTGGAGAGGCGAACTCCATGATCACCCGTGAAATCCAGGGAAAAGTTTTTAAGCATACATTGTAAAGGAGTAGGTGGCTGAGGACAGGAACGGGAGGGTGCATTTCCCATCTTGGCTTACAAGGGAAAATTATACCCAACGCAGGCAGAAATATTCTCGGCCAGGAGGGGATGGTTGAGAGAACCTACAAGTCAGAAGGATCACAGCCAAAAGGAGAACAAAAAGAGTGAGGGCTAAAGCTGTTTGCCCCATGGAAGAATCAGATGAAATACCGGGCCGACAGCTGTCTTCCTCTGAGTCTGTAACCCAGATACCTCTGGTGTCTACACTTGTCTAAAGCCTCAAGTTCGAATTTTGCCTTCTCAGTGAGGGGAGAGAGGAGAACAATAAGGGCCAGGTCCTGGGGTCTCTGTGCCTGTTTAGAACAAGGGATTTCAGTGGTACGGGGCAGGGGACAGTGTCTGGGGGGTTATTTGGTATTAGATTCTGGGTCCACCAGGAACCAGAGTTCACTGGGAAGAGCTTGGAAGGAGTTTAGAGGAGCGAAAGCTTACCTTACGTATGACTCAGCAGGCCTGAGAAGGCTGGGGAAAGTGTTTGGGTGGCAGAACAGGTGTGCCAGCAAGTCAGCATGGTGGCTGTTTTGGATCCGCCACCTATTTATAGTGGGGGACAGCCAGACGTTTGGCCAGGGACAGTGACAGTCCACGTGGCAGTCTCTATGGTGCCAGAACTTCCAGTCAATAAGGGGATGAGGTTTACAGTCTAATCCATAACAGCCCTCAATGGTTTTGAAACAGTACAGGCAATTTTTGGGTGACTATCCTAGACAACAGACTAGAGCCGCCGTTCCAGGGGGCAGGAGGTCTCTACCAATGGTAGAGAAAAAGGTTTTCCCCAGCTGCCTGGGACAATATCAGTGGCTAGACATACGACACCAAGACAGAGGTCACACAGAAATGGGGAAAGGGTTGCCCCGTGAGGTCCACTCAGATGCCCTCCTGGCCGCTTTCCTTGTGGGAATTTAGGTGCCCCTTAGCAATGGCAGGTCGGTATAAACACATGACAAGGATCAGGTTTGAGTGGAACCCGATACTGTCTTAAGCCATATGAGGTCACCACAGTACCGCTGGTTGGGGTCCTCTCAGACTCCGTAGTTGTTCACCACAGAGCCACAAATTGGAGATCCAAGGGCAGTCCCTTGGCCTCCTCATTCAGTCTACACATGTACACATACACTTATTCAGAGGCTAATACAGTTGTTATTAACCAGACAAATTTAGTGACCTGTGGTCCTGTTCTCCAGCGCCCAGGATTTTGGACAGGATTAATGAAGGGGTGCCCCCATCAGGGCTTGTCCCTTCCAGAAACCAGAGAGAGCAGAGTCAGATCTGACTTACGTTCCCAGGACCTGAGACAATGGACTCAGAGCCAAATTCTGTGGGCCCGGCAGTGGTTAGTCCATTCCTCTCCGTAGACACTGACTTACAGGGCCCTGGAATATCTCAGGGCGCACCTGCCCTATAGTTCACCATTCGTCTGGGGAGGTCCGGAGCTAGCCCGGTCCCTGCCTGGTGATGATATAATTTCTCACTGGGGCCTCCGAATGTTATACCTGAGCTAGTTTAAACAGACACACCACACTCTGAGTTTGTTGAGAGTCCACTTTTGTGCCGGCGTCCAAGAGTCAGCTAGAGCTCAGACCTCTCGGCCCAGAACAAAGGGCAGTCAATATTTTTATATCAGTTTAGGGTCAGGGGGTGGTAAGCAGACTATTACAGAAGCAGAAGAAGCAGGTTGGGGGGCAGAGGGATGCCCAACAACAAAATTCTATTTGAAGTTGCTTTTCACTCAGAATGTGGGGTAGGCAGTTACACGGCTGCAGGTACAGAATGTATGGGCCAGTGGGCCCCGTTTCTCAGAAAATTGGTTACAAAGATGCCAGGCGTCTCAGACTACAAAGTTCTCCGAACAGAATGCCCTGCATAGCTCAGGGTGGGTAACATGGAGTCGGAAGGATTGTTTAAAATGTATTCACCACAGCCAAGCCAGGGTATTTCGAGTGTTCTTTGAGCATTCCTAAAATGAGAATGGCAAGAGGCATTTGAAAGGCGTTGATTTATTATTTTAATTTAAATTTAATTTAATTGTTTTTTTTTTTTGGTGGAGTCTGGCTCTGTTGCCCAGGCTGCAGTGCAGTGGCATGATCTTAGCTCACTGCAACCTCCAGGTCCGAGGTTCAAGCAATTCTCTTGCTTCAGCCTCCTGAATAGCTGAAATTATAGGCATTTACCACCCAGCTAATTTTTGTTTTTGTATCTTTAGTAGAGACAGGGTTTCACCATGTTGCCCTGGCTGGTCACAAACTCCTGGCCTCAAGTGATCTGCCAGCCTCAGCCTCCCAGAGTGCCAGGATTACAGGCATGAGCCACCATGCCCAGCTGGCATCCATTTATTGAGAGAGTAAGGTCCTTGCTCTGTCTTAAGAGGGTAGCAAGAGATGAGTAACTGCTTCTATGTAGTAGATTGTGTGTGTGTGTGTGTGTGTGTGTGTGCAAGCAATTCTTCTGCCTCAGCTTCACAAGCAGGTGGGTGACTACAGGTGCACACCATCATGCCCAGCTAATTTTTGTATTTTTAGTAGAGACAGGTTTTCGCCATGTTAGCCAGGCTCTTCTGGAACTCCTGACCTCAGGTGATCCACCCACCTTGGCCTCTCAAAACTCTGGGATTACAAGCCTGAGCCACTGTGGCTGGTCCTATGTAGTAGATAAACTAGAATTCCATTTAGGGTAGCCTAGTTCTTATCCTAGCAAATAACATGACTTTTAATTTTTATTCCACAACATGTTAAAGTCTTCTGTTTCTACGTGTCAATATATAGATAAAAAACCTTTTTGTATTTGTTTGCTGATTTTCATGGTTAAATCAGCAGAGAGAGGGAATGAACCCTGGGTGGCAGGAGTGTGCTCCCACCCTGCTTCCCCTCCGGTGTAACAATGTGTGTGCTGGTGCTTGTGGAGGGTTGTGTGTGAAGTCTACTCAAACACATTCATTTCCAATGCTGTGAAAAAATGCCCTCAAATTGATAATAACTTACTTTCTGTATTTTTATAAGACAGATGAATGCCAGTATTTAAATTAGATAATTATAAGGACAAATCACTTCTGATGTCAATCAGTTTCATTATTTAAGAATACTATTATTAGCCAGGTGTGGTGGCACACATCTGTAATCCCAGCTACTTGGGAGGCTGAGGCAGGAGAATTGCTTGAACCTGGGATGTGGGGGTTGCAGTGAGCTGAGATCATGCCATTGCACTCCAGCCTGGACGACAGAGTAAGACTGTCTAGGCGCAGGGTGTGTGGGGAGGTGTGGTGGAAAAAAAAAGATCATTTTCACTGTGCTTATAGATCCAGTATGGTAATATTTTTTTCCTGCTAGGTTACATGTCCTTTTGAATATGACTTCAGCATTCTGTTGTGTTTCACATATTCCCAGATTTCTGTTTCTAATCCCAGTTCAGTATTGTTTGTCTGTTATGTATAGTATGTAAGCACTGTGGCCAAATGTGCACATAAATTGGTCAATTACATGTCACTTTCCTTTTCCTTCTAACACTGAGGACAAGGTAAACTCTGGGTGGCATTTCAGGTTTGCCATTTCCTTGTATTTTTCCCTTGCTCTCAAACAGAACTGTGACCTGGATCAGCAAAGCATCGTTCACATTGTGCAGAGACCATGGAGGAAAGGTCAAGAAAGCAATGCAACTGGAGGTGACAACCCCAGAAATGCGGCAGGGGGCTGTGAGCGGGAGCCCCAGAGCTTAACTCGGGTGGACCTCAGCAGCTCAGTCCTCCCAGGAGACTCCGTGGGGCTGGCTGTCATTCTGCACACTGAGAGCAGGGATGACTCACCACCAGCTGGAAGTGCAGGTAATTGGAATGCTCGAAGATTATTAAGCACTTGGTTTGTTTAGCCTAGTCTCTGTGGAGCATGGCCTCATCAGGTGCGTTTTTAGTTTATGATACGTTTTGGGTTGGAGTCTGTAATTCACTACAGGGAGATATCACTATAAGTGGAGTACTTTGATATAAACTTTGTGAATGCGTTTATTATAAGTACTATGAAATAGGTTTTCATATTGAGATTAAATATAAGAGATATATTTCTAATGAAGTAGAAAAATTCTAAAAAGTAGAAAGGATGTTAGAGCTAATTTGAGCCATGTGTAGTTTCTAAAGCCACATATTCCAATGGTGATAACATCCTTAATAAGAAAGGACTCCTCCTAAAAAATTAAAAATTTAAAAATTTAAAAAAAAGAAAGGACTCCTTCTTCTGTGCTACCACCCATTTAAAAATGCTTTTCTTTGGCAAAGATGGTTATCATTAAGTTATTTTGAAGATATTAATATGTTTCCCTTAGTCTTTTATTCTCTAATTTAAGTAGTCAAAGGTGTAATACAATTAATTTTGACTGTGTTTGACAGAAGGCACAAAATAATCACAATGACTTTACCCGGTAGAAATTGATTTTCCTCCCACATACAATAGGTCCTGGCACTTGTGGGCTTGTGTGGCCTTCACCATGTCAGAAGTTTCTGGGACCTGCAAGATGGAAGCCTAACATAATAAGAAATGTCTCCTATTAGAATCACTAAAAAAAATTAAGGATTTTTTGAAAGTTTTTGAAATTTTAGATGAACTTGTAAAAAATTTTTAAAAAAGGATAATTTCCCGGGACAAATGAAAATGTAGAAACAACATCTTTAAATAGAGGAGTAGATAAGCCCAGAAAGTAAGGCATCAGCTGATGCTCTGTGATCTTGAGATGGCGGTGGAAGGGAAAGAGGCTCTGCCTCACATGAGCTGGGTGCCTGGGGTCTGGTAAGAAAAATGGAGAGAGAGAAATAAATGTCAGAAATGGGGGAAAATGAGATAAATTTAAACCCCTGCAGTATCCGTGTGATCCAGAATGATACATTAATATAAATATCAAACCCAAGCCTCATAACAATTCTGATGTTTCAACTGGAGTATGTGTAAGACCATTCTGACATTGACACCTCCAGAGAAACGCAAACCCCACTATGGGATACTCATGCTCCAACATTATAAACCAAACTAGGGAAAATTTCACCTTGAGTGTGTCAGAGACCAGAATACGCTACCCCAAAATATAACTGTAGGAGACCAGAATATGCCACCCCAAAATATGCCACTTTAGCATAAGTATTATTTTGAGCTGATTATTTTGAGAAACAGTAGACACAGGACAAGCTCTAGAAATAGAGCCGAACTCACCCTTTTGCAAGGGAAATTGTATCTACAAAGGAAATCTCCACTTGTAAGCGTGTCTCCCTCTCCTTACTAGGAAGAGAAGGAGACCAGAGTCTCTGGAGACTGAGCCTTCAGAAGACACCAGCTTAATAATCTGCCTAACAAACCCTACTGTGTCTTCTTCGCTCCCTTTCTTCTGTTGCCTTTAAAGATGATATTCAAGCCTGAGTTTTTTAGGCCACCTCTTTGAGATTTACGCATTTTTTTGGGTGTTTCACATGTACAGCCATCCCTCCCCATTAACAGACCTATGTTTCAAATCCCCCAATGCATGCCTGAAGCTGAAAAGGGTGCCAAACCCTGCATTTACTATGCTTGTTCCTGTCCAACTGTATAACACATTGGATTTATTATGTGAGTAGACCTATCTACTTGTTCTTTAATATGATTTTCCAAAATAAAATTCATACTAAAAATAAAAAAATCACACTTTAGAGCAAAATTAAACTTATTATCTCAACATTGAAAGCAGTTTTAGCACAATAATTATATTGTGTACACATTCACATTCTTTACTCAGTTTTCTAGTGTGTCTCTACTATCTTATCATAATATTTATCTGAAAATTTTAGTCTCCTTATTTTGTTTTATCATAAAATTCTCCTTGGTCTTCTCCAGAATTTTCTTTTAGGAGAATGAACTTAGAATTACTGACACTTTTAATTGACACACTCTCTAGACCATAACATTTTAGTTAAGAAAACATAGTATTCTTTCCGTATAGGGTCTGAGATACCAATAGGTGCTGAGAAAATTCTACTAAATGTCTAATATTTTCTTTATATTTTTAAATTGAAATTTGTAATTATTTCAACCCAAACAATAGACAATAAATTCTGGTAAACTTACGCAATGTGGAAGTGACAGCAGCTCTCAGAGTGGTGTATGTTTAATGATGACATGCTGTTTCACCTTTTCTTTCCACCCATGTCTGGGTCACATCTGACCTCTGACCACCCGGGTTCTCATTTACCCCCGTTTTGTGGTCCGCCAGCTTTGTGCATTTTGCAGGCTAGGGACTGGCTCAGAAAACACTACGTGGCGCGGTGGATGACCAAACAAGGGTGCCATCCTAATACACTTCTCCCTGCACCACTGCAGAGTGGGGCAGCTCTTCCTGGTACCCTACATACTCCTACCGAAAGGCATCAGTTATATTGCATCTGTAAAGAATTGGGAAAGAGAGATGACTGATCCCAGGTCAACTTTCTGACTTAATTCTGTGTTGAACTAACAACTAAACTACAAGTAGCCGTCTCCTACTCATTAGACCTGAAGGAATCCTTTACCAAATTCTTACGACTCTCATTCCTATGTTGTACTCCAGTTGCTTTGCCTTTTAATCTCCTTGAGGCCCGAGTTTTTGTCCAGTTAACTGTAGTTTCCCCCAAAATCTCCTAGAAGAGTGTGATACATGTTTACCACATTTCCTAAAATTGTAAACATAGTAAGTCACTCATCAGAGTTTCTGTGCATTTAGCTTTCAGAACAAAAGGTTTGTTTAAAATTATACAGAGAAATAGAGATTTCACCTCTTAAAAAGTCTTGGTTCATGGCTGGTTTGAATGAACACTTTGAATGGAATGATTTGAAATGACTCTATGCAAACAGTATGCATATATGATTTTTTTTAAACTAAATCTTACAGCGTAAAGTTCCTAAAGCAGAGATTCACGGAGTCTCGTGTGCAGAATTATCTTGCATGCTTTTCTATGCTTCTTTGGTGGACAGAAATTATTATGCCATGGCAAGAAAAAAACTTGTTTCATTCTTTTTCTGTGACCAGAAATTTTGATTTATTTTTCTGGGATAGAGGCCCCAAAACGTTGACACCATACACACTCTGAGAAACTCTGCCGTATCACTGAGATTTTCCAACCTTACAATTATGGATCCTACCGGTTGTTCTCACAGAACAATCAGACACTGGGTGGGAGAACAGAGGCAAGTTGGTGAGAGATGAACACACCAAGCCAGTCACAACAGCCGGAGACAATTCCTTTCTATGTGCTTCACAAATTAAACACATACAACATCCATCATTTGAAAAGACACAAAAGTTCCTCGGTTATAAATGTTTGAAAACCTCTGCCTCAGAAAATCCCCAATTTTCTGTGCTTCCCGAGTCTTCAAATTCAACGAATGTAAGTGCTGGCTGGATGTGGGAGGGCTTTAATGGGTGAATAGCTGGGCTGTAGCCACACATGTTGTCGAAACAGATGGAAACTTCTGAAACCTGAGAAGGTGGCTTTCAGGCATTTTTAGGTGGCAAAAGATAACTGGTCAACATGAGAGGTGATCCGGTGATGTACACGAATAACCACCAGTTACACTGTTGGTACTGAGAACCTGACTATGTCATAATAAGGCTTGTAAGAGGAAGCAAAGGAGCTGGAAGGGATTGCTGAAGTAATTGTGACAGCAGTCCTGCTCAAGCTTCAGTGCTCATCAGAATCACCTGAGGACCAACAGAAGCACAGATAACTGGGCCCAGACCAGTTGGCCTTGGATGGAGGCTGAGAAGTTGCATTTTTAACAAGCTCCCAGGTGATACTAATACTGCACATCCAGGAGCTGCACTTTGAATAGTACTGCCCTAAATAGTAAAAAAATAGTATTGGTTAAAATACAGTCAATGAGTAAAATCTATTTTACTAAGTTTTGAACAAGAACTTTGAGTGAGCCTGTGTGTAAATTTCCTTCACATATTGTTGGTGTCTCCTAAATGAGGTGTTATTCATCATCTCTGGATAGTCAGATGAGATGAGGCTATGGTACCTAGCAAAAAACAGGAGGTTAGTTCAACCATTGTGGAAGACAGTGTGGCAATTCCTCCAGGATCTAGAAATAGAAATACATTTCACCCAGCAATCCCATATCTGGGTATATACCCAAAGGGTTATAAATCATTCTATTATAAAGACACCTGCACACATATGTTCATTGCAGCACTGTTTGCAATAGCAAAGACTTGGAACCAATCCAAATGTCCATCAATGATCGACTGGATAAAGAAAATGTGGCACATACACACCATGGAATACGGTGCAGCCATAAAAAGGATGAGTTCATGTCTTTTGTGGGGACATGGATGAAGCTGGAAACAATCATTCTCCACACACTGACACAAGAACAGAAAACCAAATACTGCATGTTCTTCCTCATAAGTGGGTGTTGAACAATGAGAACACATGGACACAGAGAGGGGAACATCACACATTGAGGTCTGTTGCGGGGAAGGGAGGTAGATGAGAGGTAGCAGGGGCTGGGGGGATTGGGGAGGGATAACATTAGGAGAATTACCTAAGGTAGGTGATGGGGAGATGGAGGCGGCAAACCACCATGTGTATGGTATACATAGGTATACACATGTGTTTCATGTGTATACCTATGTAACAAACCTGCATGATCTGCACATGTACCCCAGAACTTAAAGTATAATAAAATAAAGAAAATTAAAATAGAAATAAAATTGATTTGCCATTTCCATATCTAAAAAAAATGGGAGACTCCTCTAATATATGTCATACAGTTAACAAACTACATAAACAAATGGTGACTGAGTCCTTACTCTGTGTCAAGCACAGTGCTA